GTCATTTTGCTTGTGACACGATCCCATCCATCGTCTCACGCGCCCAGCTCCATGTATTAGCAGGCCAACCTCGCGTGCATTTGACCAGCAGTCCGCAGTTAACTTATCTCACTCGCTCAAATGCTCAAAGTCCATATATCTGTTTCGCTCGCACGTTGAACACTTGTTTTTTTTTTTTTTTTGCATAATTAATGTCATCATAGGCGGCCGTAATTCCCTCTACCCCAGCACTCGTCGCCGTTGCCGTCAGCCTCGTTGTCCTGCCGCAACGTGACCGTAATGACGGCAACAGCTCCCTCAGCCACCCCAGGAGAGCACAGCATGGCACATTGTGGGCAGTTGGTGGGCACCCCGTTGGGGTCAGGTGCATGGCTCTAACGGCTGTTGCAATTGATTTTGATTCATTGCCCTGGCCATCAATTTGGATACACTGCAGTGGCTATTCCGACATTTTCATGCTGCCTGCAACCCATTTCATAAACGAAAATGTTCATGTACTTCTATGGGCCACTTTAAGCGGCAGAGATTTGAGCCAGATTAATTGAATGACTGAGCACTGACCGATGCTCAGGACCAACTGTAAACGGGTCGACAATGACGGGGTTTTGGTCAAGGTTTCTTCTATATTGCCATATATTGTGCACTGCTATCTTGGCATTATGAAGCCTAGGCTTTTGAGCGTCGAAGTTACAAAGCGAAAAGTTGCCGGCTCAACTCCAGAAGAAATTATCAATTCTTAAAAATTTTGTATTTAATTTGTTATTGTTTCGTAGTCTTCTCTTCAAATTAAAAAGTATATATATTTCTTTAAAATGAATTCAAACAGAAAAGCTTTCTTTTGTGCAATTGGAGACAATGATTTGGAAGGAGCAACAACAGCAAAAATAATTTTGACTAGCATTTGCAAAGTTTGTTGATTGATACGCAACAGAAGCACTGGGGGCGTTGCATGCTCAGAGCCGGGGTGGGGTCTCAGTGGACATGACTGTTTTGATGTTTACAATTCAATTTTGTAATGAATTGTAAAATAATAGATTGCGTAGACGCGTGCTGGCCATTAGAGCGGATTTGTATATTTAAAAACTTTGCGCAAATTAAGCAAACAATTTCGGTATAATTGGATTTTCAACATTCATAAATGAAACCAGTAATTTGTGCAATATCTGTTTCACATCAAATTGCGAAAATCGAATCGTTATTTGTATTTAATTATTAGTATTTTAAAGAAACAAATTGCCTACCTAATATGCTAACATATGAATATCGTATTTTTTTGCAATGTACATTTGTATGCAAGCAGAGTTTGCAAGCTTAGAGAAAACAAAATTGTAAATAATATTTGTATGCGCTAATCAGTCTGAAATGCAGGCAGCTGCAGTTGTAGTTGCAGCTGCTGTTCAATATTTGACAAGAGGATAACTTAGTCATACTGCGAAGTCAGAATGCATATGTCAACATATTTATCATTCACTTAATTTCTTGTTAGCATAGCTAACTCATAAAATAAACAAATCAAATTCCTCCATCTGTTAAGCATTTCACAAGCAGATAGACGACATCTTACGCAATCAGAATTTTTACGTTTTATTGACAGATAGATGGGAAAACACAAGCAAATCAAATGTCATGTCAAAATAACTGTCAACTTGTTAACTCAAAGAATATTTCTTGAAAAAACGCACCTTAACGCAAATTTAATATATCATTTGACTCTATTTTTTATTGCTACTTACTATTAATATTATCTTTTTTACTTATAAGCAATCAAGGAAGCTTTTCAAATAACATTGACTACTGTGGCCTTCAGCTAAGATAATACCTTATCGAGGCACTAGCCTGGCGCTTAAGCCCGAATCCTTCTTGTTCAGTTGCCCGAATAACTGGGTCACTCTCACATCAATTGATATCTTAAATGTTGTCTGTGTATGAAAGGGTATTTAAGCTCTGACATCAATAGATATCTTAAATGTTTTCTTTGTATTTGTATGAAAGGGTATTTATGCTTCATTGCGCCGCGGTTGTCTGTGCATTTAAGTGGCCTGCAGTGAAATGAATTTTAAATATTTAAAGGGCCATGCGATGCGTCGCTTAAGCAGGCATTAAGTTAATATACCTCCCAGGACACGCCCACTGCAGGCTGCACCGAGAGTGTTGAAATAATAACTTAATTATGCAGCTGGCAGGAAGCTAGGCGGCCACACAATGAATGTGTGTGTGTGTGTGTGTGTATGTGTGCTCCTTCATTATTAGCGCTATATCTATATCTATATCTATATCTATATCTATATCTAGAAGAAGCGGATCATAAAGTCTGCTTAAGTTCTGATCCTTATGTGATGAAGTCTGAGCTTGGGCATGAGTCAAGTCAGAAATCAGAGTTAAGACTAACACTTGAAGCATATCACACTCACACACACACACACACACACACAGGCACAGGCAGCTGGCAATCCGTTCACAGGCTGTCAGAGGCTCTTAAGATAGACAAAGAACTGAAATTCGGCAACACACCAAACACACAGGACACTGACAGGCAAAACATCCTGGCAAAATGGCCAAATGGCAACAGGCGGCCGAGCTGAGCGATGGGAGACAGAGAGCGAGAGAGAGGGAGAGGCAGAGGCAGAGAGAGAGAGAGAGAGAGAGAGAGAGAGAGAGAGAGAGAGAGAGAGTTGAGCAACAGGGAAACAGCAAAAACGGATTTGAAGTGACAGATTGATGTAGATGCGAGGCGATGCTAGGCATCGTCTAGATACGAAGATGCGAAGATGTGAAGGTGAATGTAGTGGCAGATAGATGGCTTACAGTCAGAGTGGGGTGGCGGGATAGGTGGTGCGGAATGGGGTGGATGACACGGACACGAGCATGCAGAGCGCATAAATGTAAGGCAATGAAAATGTTTGCCCAGCTAGCCGTGCTTTGTGTTGGAGCCGTTAACAAAATGTTGGCTCCCATTCCGGTTGTACATGTCCTTGATGTTATACCTTGTTAGCTGTTGTGTAGGTTTTTGGGCATCAACTTACCACCTAGCCCCCAATCCCACAACCACCCCGTTGCCACTCACACCCCTCAAAAACGTATCCAAATGCCAAACGAAGCGTGCGGCGCACACGAACAGTCCTTACTCCTTTCGCCGGACGCGCCTCCAGCTCCTGCTGCTCCTCCCGGTGTTAGCTTCCTGCTGTTGTGTGTGGCATTCCAGAAACGAAAACATATTTTCCATATGAGTGCACAAAGCGTTGCCAGACGCACAACAACAACAACAACAACTGCGACAACAGCGATACGGCTTAGTCGAAGCCGGCTCACATATGTATCTCACCCGGTAAGCCCAATGTTGCCTGTTGGGTATTTTGCAGTTGCTCTCCCCTTGCCCCCCTTTTTTTTGTGTTAATCCTTTTCGAAATTTTTAGTTTGATTGTTGGGAAAATATTTTAAGCTCCAGGCACAAATACAGTACGACGCAAGCATTAGCATAACGCTAGGGACTCGGAAATGGAGCACGAGCCAACCGCAAGGAAATTTTGTATTTGGTGGCGGGGGAGTTAACTTAATCTTAAGGGTGTGACTCGAATTTAAATCCAGGGCAACTTGTATAGTATTGGGTCTTGCGAAACGGCGTGGAAGAGATTGTTTAGCACCAAAAACCCAACTCTTGTTGGCTAAAGATAAATAAATGTATCAAATAATTTCTACATATTCCGTCCGCGAAAAGCATTTTCATTTCGCATCTCTACTGACAAGTAAAAGCCTTGCAAATCTGTTCTACATATGATTTTAAAATGTATGTTTAAGAAAAATAGCCGATTTCTTTGTCATACACCAATGCTTCATCTTATGCGTTCCACTTCCAGCAAACAGGCATTTATCGATTTCACTTCCACCTCACTGAGTGAAACATTGATTGGTTCATTTAAGCTGCTTGTCATTTGCGCTTTACATGTGCTCAGCAAAGGTCTTATGCTAATTTCGACCGCTTAAAATATAAAATACAAATCCACATTCATCGATTCTAATTCCACGTCAATAAGTGAAACATTATTGGATTTACTTCAACTGCTTGTCATTGGCAATCCACCTATGCTAATTTCATCCACTTAAAATATAAAGTACAACAAAATGGCACACAAAAAATGTCATTTAATGACATTGATTGGCTGTTTCATTCAGCATTGCAAACAATTAAATTTAAGAGCCTTACAGCCGCCATTTGTGCTGTCTCAGCAGCCAATATATGTGAGCTACATACCCCGCCTTGTCCCGCCAGCAACATCAGCGGCAGCAGCAGCAGCAGCAGCGACAGCGGTCGCGACAGAACTCGTTACTGTCACGCCCTGTTGCCGCTCGGACATGACAAAGGTTGACATTGCGCCTGCATTTATTAAAACAACTGCCAGCAGGACGTGAAGCGTAAACAAAAAGGAGGAGAAAGAAGCGGCGACTAGCCCCCTTTTGGCATTTTGCATTCCACTTGTTTCACCCATTCCACTGGTTTGGCTCAATTCACTTGTTCAATGCGCCTTTTAAACGCAGTACTAAATCCGTCAATCTGATCTATTCTTCTGTTTGTATGTTTATCTATCGATCCACCTGTCCGACTGTGCATCCATCCGCCATCCGTCTGGATGAACTCATTCATCTCTGAAACCTACCAACTCTAAGCTTAAGACTTGAAATTTGAATATCTGTTTTCGTATATCATGTATAGAAACAGTTTTTCAGTTTATAAGCAAACTGACTATTTAGGCTGTGGTATAATATGCACAGATTAGGAATATTTCCCACAAAATAGAAACAAGCTTATTTAATAGGAAAAGCTCCTTGTGCTTGCTTCTTTGTAAGAACAGCTCGGCGCAAGGTTTCTAGTCGGGCACTCCCGACTATATTATTCCTAACTGTTTTTATTATTGTTTTTAATTAAAAAATGAATTGAAAATTAAAGGGCGACTCTTAGGCCTGCAGACTTAACTCATAAATTGTTGTTGGTTCTGTATTTGCAGTTTATTGGCAACAATAATGGTCAGCACAACATTGACAACATTGGCTGCTGGACAAACAACTAGTAGCAGTAATCATCATCACCATCATCATCACCAGCAGCAGCAGCAGCAACAGCAGCATCCACTGCAGCAACCTCACCACAGCACAGTCAGTAGCAGTAACGGCAGCAGCAACAGCAGCTACCAGCGCCTGCAATCATCCGCAGCAGCAGCAACAGCTGCAGCAGCCGCTCAGCAGCGCAATTACTACGCACTCAACGGCCTGGAACACGACTGCGAAAGCAGCAACTCCCATAGCAACAGCGGCTACCAGCAGCAGCAGCAGCAGCCACTGAATTTATCGCAAGCGCTGCTCTCGCCTTCACCACCGCTCAACGATCAGATTAATCTGCTCTTTCCCAAGTGCCGACCCAAGCAGCAGCAATCGCAGCAGCAGCAACCGCAGCAGCAACAGCAACAGCCCTCGCCCAGCAGCAACAGCAGCCGACAGCAGCATGGAACCATTGCCGATGTGAATCTGAACAGCAACATCACAGCAGCAGCAGCAGCAGCAGCAGCAGTTGGTGTCTCAGAGACAACTGGGAGCAGCTCACCCATTGTCACGCCCATCAGTACGCCCAGCTATTATAAAAGCGTCAACATTATAACGCAATCTCCGCCGCCGCATTCAGCCTCGTCGCACTCTTCGGAATCGTTGTCTTCGGTCACGCCGCGCATATCCACAAATCCGTTTCTGTGCACGCCGCTGACACCACCAACACCACCAACGCCTCCACACAGCGCCAGAGCAGCTGTTGCAGCGGACGGCGATACGGACGTGGAAGCAATTCTGTTGGCAGAGGACGACGACTTGCAGCAAGAGCAGCAGGAGCTAATCGAGGAGTCGGTGCCCCAGACGGCATATCCAGCATCCTTCTACTATCACACGGGCGATATCAGGCGTGGCCACGGCTATACGGATATGCCGCGCAAACGCAACAGCGCCATATCAGCGGGAAGGCAGCAACACCAGCAGCAACATCACACGCTGCTTAACGGCAACAGCAGCAACAATATTGGCAACGGCAGCGCCCAAAACAGCCAGAATCCTTTTATCAAGGAGAACTACTGGGAGTCAGCCACGCCACGAGCCAGCACCCTGCTGCACTCACCCACAGAGTACCCCGATGAGCAGCAGCAGCACCAGGAGCAACAGCATATGCACGCCTCAGCGAGACGAGCCTATCATCAGCAAAGGGAGCAGCTGGCGCCACAATTGTACACCATAGCACAAAGGCCGACGCAGACGCAGTCACAGAATCTTCAAGCTCCACACGTATTGCGTGTGGGTCGCAGCCCAGTGAATCGCAACCACTCGTCTGGTGGTGCACAGCAACAGCAACAGCAACAGCCACCGATTGTGGGCAGCAGCAATCCGTGTGCCGAGGGGCTCTCCCCTTTGGCTAGCCACTACCTGTATGGCAGCAAATCTTCACTGGATCAGCACGCGTCTGACTGGGAGCCACGCGAACAGCGTAAGCAGCGGCTGCGCGAAGAACGCGATCGCGAACGCGAAAGGGAACGGGAGCGAGAGCGGGACAGAGAACGAGATCGTGAGCAACTGCTGCTGGAACAGCAACAGCATCTGCAACTACAAGACGTACATGCCGCACGCGAAAACCACCTGAGCCACCTGTCGGCGGCACAGCAACATCAGCAACAGCAGCAACAACAGCAGCGAAAGCGACACGGCAACAGCGAGGATCGGGATCGAGATCAACGGCTAATCAGCAACTCTGTCAATGAGTCATCAATGAGCGGCTATGGAGTAGCCGATGCCTCGGAGAGTTGGCAGCGTAAGTAGCGGGAGAGTTGGGTAGTAGTATAGTAAGGCCTACACAGAGATAATTATTCAGGAACCCTAACCTTGCCTCCAATAAGCTATGTCTTAACTGTGCGGAAATTTCGGCTGCAGCAAAACAATTAGAAATTAATTTAGAAAAAAAGCTTGCCTATTATCAGATTCGACTTAACAATTCGAAAAGGCTAGTTTATAACTTAAGTCGACTTTTGTCTCCTTGAGTTATTAAATTCTAAAATAGGTAATTTACTCAAAATTTCGTTTTTATTTGATTTCCTTACTGAAATTTGTATATCAATTTATAGACAATTTAGAACGAATAAGGTGCGAATAATTCAAGTACTTTTAGACTAAACTCAAGAATTTGAAAGTCGAATATCTTTGCCTCATTCCTTCTCGTTAGCTTTAAGCTATTTTCTCATAAATATTTGTGGGATAGATGCTCTTAACTTTCGATTTTCGTTATTGCAGCAAGCTTTTATTTAAGCTTTAACTTTGAATGAATTGTTTATTTTCATTACTTTATTATTTTATTGAGCTCCAATTTCTTTTGTGAATTTTCTATATTGCTAGTTAAATTTGATTTAAGACTTTAATCGTAACTTTTATTTTATATTTATAGTAAGACATTAGTTTCGGTTTTTGTTCAGCATCAAATATCGTTTTTGGCTTACCTTAAGCTTTAAGATGATATTATACTTTGAGATAGTCTTTATCTTGACATTGATAAGCATAGACTTATTGTCGCATATATCGAATAGAATTGTGCATAGATCTTTTGTATCTACAGATTGTAGCTCAAGCCAAATGTCAAAGTTTTAAGCCAGAATCGTGATTGGCTGTTTTCGCTTGTATTGGATTGATGCTATAGACTTATTCAATATATCATGAGCCCGAAGCTTATTTGGAATTGGATGCCTTATTTAGGGTTCAATTTTGTTGCGTTTCTTGTTGTAGGCTGGGCATTGACTTCCAGTCCAAATATTTACAAAGCACCCAACCCAAACAAAAGCAGCTCAAATTTGGTTTTTAAGTGTCTGTTGCAAATGGTTTGTACGAAGAGCTTTCAGTTTGGGCTGCTTGGATAGCAAGCTGGCTGCCTGGCTGTCAGGCTGTCTGGCTGTCTGGCTGGGTGTCGGTTTGAGCTGACGAGTGCCTGTCCATCCGCCCTTGACACTTGAACCTTCCCCCTGTCATATGTGGCCACCCAGCCGGCCTGAATTGTATGGCCATGACCATGGGCCGGGTAATTGAATTGCAAATCATGCGTAATGAAGTGCACTGCAAATATAAATGCGCATTAAACAAGTCAGCAACAACAAAAGTGAGGCCGGCCAAATTTGAGGCTGAACGGAAGTCGGCGGGGAAATTAATTGTTTGCAATTAATTGGCATGCCAAGTCTGTCAGACAGCTGGCTAAAGGCTATATGAAACATACCCGAAACCAATCCCATTTCGACTTACTCTCGCACCTTTGCAGATCTACGCGTCACGACCGAATCGACCGAGGAGAGCAAATGCGGCAAGCAGCTACCCACTGACAAGTCGATGGGCGGCAGCCAGAGCCGTTCGCATGCTATGCTCGAGCCGCACACGCGCCGCCTGCTCGACGATGGCGCCGTCTATCGAGAGCACAAGCTGGATGCCTGGCAGCTAGAACGCAACTACACGCTGGCCGTGGAGTCGCGTCACGGCATCATAGGTGAGTCAGGCTCTGTGCACCTAAGCCTAGCTGTTCTCAATTCTGTCACTTTTGATACCCCCACAGAATACGAGGGCTCGCCACGACGCATTGGCGTCGCTGCCAGCAGCAGCAGCAGTCCCGCTGCAGCGGACGAAAGCGAACCACCAGTTGGCGCAATAGCAGCAACAGCAACAGCAACAGCAGTAGCAGCAGCAGCAGCAGCGGCAGCGGCAGCTCCACCAATGGCCGCCGTGCCGCCAATGAGTTGCAGCACGACTGCGGCTAGCTCGCTGCAAAAGACGGCAGCACGTGCCGCGCTCGCCGCACTTGCCCAATGCCAGCCACCGCAACAACCGCAGCCGTATCCGGTGCGCCCCGGCTTTCCACAGGTACAGGTCCATGTCTTTTGTTTTTACCAGATGGACTTCAATTCCAATTCGAATTCCAATTCCATTCATTTCCGCAGCGCATAATTTCGCCACCGCGTGAGCTAGGCAGCAGCTCGCCTACGCAGCAGCAACAGCAGCAACAGCAGCAGCAACTGCCGCTGCACTTCAACAACGGCAGCAACCATAGCAATAACAACAACAACAAAGCAGCGTGCTGCGACAACAATGCCGAGGATACGAGCAACGATGTCTCTGAAATTGGCACCATATCCGACCTGACCACGCCCGAGGCGCCCATTACGGCCACGCCCAACGAGTTGACAAGCTGTGTGGCTGTTTCACCGCCACCAGCAGCAGCGGCAGCAGCAGTGGCAGCAGCAACAACAGTTGCAACCGCAACGGGAAAACCAACGATTGCATCAACCATGACATCAGCAATGGCCGGCAATTCCTCGACAGCGGGCACGACCCTAACTTCTGGCCCATTGAGCCTGCACACCAAATCCTCGACCTTTGATTACCTCTACGAATTCTCGGAGACTCGCAAAGTGCTGGAGGAATTCTTCAAGTGTCCCTCGAATGATGAGCAGCCCATAATGGAGAATGGCAGCGATGTGGACAGCATTGTAAGTAAACAACTCGCTTACAATGTGGTGGTTGGCCATCGTGGGGTGTAAAAGGGTTACGACCGGGCTTAAACGGGCTCAAGCTACAGGCCGTGCAGAGAGCCCCAAATTTATTTAAAGCAAACCTGACTTACTTACAATAACTCTAAATATATGTATATGACAATGGGACCGGGTATTGCGAGGTCGGGTGAGCAAAGCTCAGTGTAAACAATATGTGAATGTTTTGTAATTACAACTTAGTCTAAACATCTTTGCAGGACATACAGTACGAGTTTCACAGCAACTTTGAGCGTGACGAGGAGGAGCTAGATGAGGAAGAGGAGGAGGATGAGGACGAAAATGATGAGGGTGAGGATGAAGATGAGCACGCCGAGCAGGAATATCAGCAGCAACAACAGCAACAACAGCAGCAGCAGCAGCAGCCACAACAACTGTTGCAGCAGCCGCCCGCATCAGAGCGCCACGTCTATGGCGCCTACACGCAGCCGCAGCTGCAGTTGCAGTCGCAGCTTCAGTCGCGGCCAGCGCAGCTGCCACGGCACTACAGCGGCAGTCCACTAATGCGCGACTTTGACTTCTTCCTTGACTCGGCCAGCCGCAGCAGCGGCGAGCGAGAGGGCGAACAGGATGGGCTCAATCACAACCAGCTGCTGAGCACTGGCAGCGGCAGCGGCCTAGGCCAAAGCGTTGGCCAGGGCGTAGGCGGCGGCCTGACAGGCGGCCACAACTACCGCTACTCACCGGAGACCACCGACTACGACTCCAACTGCGGCGATCTGGACAGTAAGTATTTAGCTAACCGGGTATGTGCTCAATACTAAGTTGGCGACTTTTTTGAAGGTCTCTCGGGCGAGATGAATGGCGGTGTATCGACCTCCTGCTCAAACTACGCGAAGTACTATGCCTCGGCCATGCCCGTGCTGGAGGATGGCCTCTCCTCGGGCCACACCAGTGACACAGAGAATAATAACAACAACAAGAACCTTCAGCAGCTGGCCACCCAGGCAGCCCAGAACCAGATACAGGGCCTTAGCCAGAACCAGAACCAGAACCAGAACCAGAGTCAGGGCCAGGGCCAGGCACAGGGTAACCTCAGCGCCAGCACCAGCATTGGTGGCGGCATTTCCATGCTAATGGACATGAAACGCATCTCGACTAACAACAGCTTAAACAGCATGCACAACCTGACGGCCTCCACCACCGAAAGCAACGGAGTTGGCCACCAGCTGAGCCACACGAGTCCCAGCAACGGGCTACATAAGCAGCAACCGCAGCTGCCACAGCAACGCGAACTGCTCGGCCAGAGCCCCAGCAGCAACAGCAATAGCAAAGTGTTCAAGAACATAGATCCGGAGTTGGATTCCCTCTACTCTATCAGTAAGTAGCGATTAAGCAAACCAAAGAAAATAGATTGAAATTAAGTTTGAATAAGATGAGAAGACTTTAAGCGGGCGCAACCCATTATGATATATATATACATACATATATAGATTAGTTATGTGAGGCGAGGCGGAGTAAAATATGATAAGCCAAGAAGCGCTCACGTCATACGCTTGAAGCCGATTGGACGAAACTTAAAACATCCTCTAATTACTCGGGTATAAAAAGTTTCAGACCGATAAGATTACTTTAATGAAAATCGTAGTTTTCCATGGTTTCTACGGATCGTCAATCAGTCGAAACAGTTGTAGACCCTTCAAGCTGCGAATATATATTAGCGTATATCCATGCCAGAGAAAAGGGTTCGGCTTTGCAATTTGCAAGTAGACTGATGATAAATCGATCCGTCACAAATTACAAAAATGGATATTGTCTAAAGCCACAGTCAATTATTTGTGGTTACAGTCTTAGAGTCACCAGCCCATAATTCAAAAATACTCTTTCGACTGATATTTTTGGTAAATAGACTGTAATTAGAGTGTTGCGTAGTCGGTTACACTTGTGCTGGTTCTTAATCAAATTATGGCCTAAACAGTGGCATGCGTCTAAGTTAAATATTAATCTCTTGTCGTATTCTCTTTGGCACCTTGCAGGTGTTTTCCACCGGCCGGACATGGTGCAGATGACGCCTCCACCGCCAGCGCCGGCGCCGCATCGCAAGCCCAACTGCAGCACTGATGTTGATCTGCTGCAGACCACCGGACAGGGCAGCAAGCATACGCCGCTGAATGCGGCCATCAGCTCGACGTTGCAGCGCAGCTCGCCCACCGCCTGCATAGGCGTCGGAAGCGGCGCCCCAAAGCCGCGCAGCGCTGGCAGCAATTGCAGCAGCAATGGCATCGGCGGTGGGTTGGGTGGTGGGCCAGCGCCCCCGCCAATCCCCGAGCGCAGCAATATGCAGCCGGTGCAACGCTCGCCCTCGCCCGTGATGAGCTCGCCCGTATGGCTGTCACGGCATTTAGATGGAGGTGCCGGCAAGGCGCTGCTCGAATCGAGCTCAGATAACCACTCAAAGAACCACAGCGCCGACGAGGAGGATGTGGACACGGACCTAGAGACGGACCGTCTGCTGGGCCACCAGCGTCTGGACGATCAGGGCTACTACGATGAGAACAAGAGCTGGGATCGCAAGCCGCGCGGCTCGCTGCTCTCCAAAATATCGCCCAAGCAGCAACAGATGCCCAGCACCAAGACACGCAATGGCTACAATGCGCTGCTCAGCTCCACGCCGGAACTGCCGCCGCCCATTCCACCCAAGAGCTCGGCCAGTCTCAGCGGCTCGGGCGCCGGCAAGCTGCTCGATTTGGTCAGCAGCGTGCAGCAGCGCAGCAACTCGCGCAGCTCCTCGGAGCATAGCCACAAGTCGCCGACAAAGGTGTCCAGCAGCGGGCATGATATTTGCGGCATGACAGCTGCCACAGCTGCCGATGTGGTTGCCACTGCTGTGGTCGCCGCCGGTGCACTGCCCCCTCTGGGCAGTCCCAACAATGGCGGCGGCTCAGAGCGCTCTGCTGCGGGTGTCGCCAAGCTGGATGTGGAGAATGATGGCATCAATGGCGGGGGCATTGTCGGTGTCGCCAGCGGCGTGGCCAATGCTGTCATCAACAACGGCACCAACAGCACCAATGGCAGCACCGGCAACAACAACAGCACCAACACCAACGGCAACAACAACAATGTTGCCATCGGCAGCAACAACAGCAGCGGCAGCGCAGCGGGCAGCAACAGCAACAGCGGCGAGAAAAAAGTGAAAAAGAGTAAGAGCAAAGAAGGTAAATGCTTTGGGTTTATCCTTCGTTCAATTGTTACAATTTTAGTGTCAATATAATACCCAATATCGTAAACAATATCGTAAACTGGTCAGTTGCTGTTGCTTTTCGCTGCAACCCTTTGGTGCATACCCTTTGATGCTAGCAGGCAAAGAGCAACCGCAGCGTGAACAAAATATAGAAATCAAAAAATACCCATATGATAACAGATTTATCTTTGGCATGCCAAAGCTGAAATACCCTTGCAGAGCTAAAAGTAACAATCGATGATACAAAGCACTAGCAGACACATACATGCCTTAGAAGTGCAAAGGCTTGCCTAAGGAACTCATTGTTAACCGATTCTTTCTGTGGCGGTATATGATATTGTCGTTCGATAATAATAAGATGGAATGTTTGACCGATCATTCCTATGGCAGCTATATGATATATACTGGTCCGATTCGGCTGGTCCGGACAAGAAAAGGACAAACCTATGCAAAATTTCGTGTGAAAAACTCCTCAGCCTCCTAATGATTGTGATTAATGGAATAGCACTTGTTCCGGACCAAAAACCGGGTAGTAACTGCTAGAATTAGATACAAATGGGGTTTTACGAGCGGTGCAAGGGTATAAAACATATTTTGATATCTAACACATATGTACGTATATGATTTGCGGCGCAAATCGATAATTTATATTTGATAACAACAAATTGCTAATCGTATCTATATTTATATATATACATATATATATATTTGTATACTTATATATGTATTTTCTATATTCTTTCGCATATTTTATTGCCAAATTTGCGTTTATTGCATGCCTCGTTCGTTCGTTCGTTCATTTTACTGTGTCTGTGTGTGTGTACAATACTTTGTAAGATACAATTCCAATATGTAGCCGTAACTATTTACCAAACTCTAACAGTAACAATAATAATACAACAACACACTTAGACACACCCACCCAAAGATCCACATACGTTCGAGAGTTATCTTTAAACACATATGCGAGTAATTGTACTTACCTTTCGCAATGGATATTTAATACAGTGATCGCTTGCAGATGAGAACGATTCGGTTTCATAAGTGATTCTGGCAGCAAAGAGTAGTTGTTAACATAATGTATACGTGATATAGAATCCAATTTCAAAGGGTATTTGAAAATAGTATGCTTAAAAGCAGGGCTGCAAACTGATTGGGAAAATATGAAGGTGTTTTCTGCACCCTTCGATCGGATTATTACTCTTTTACCAAGATCTTTGTTTCATTCATTTGATACTTGACTCACACATTTCGCGCAATCTCAACTTTTTGAATGAAAAGAGCGGGTTCCAAAAACTGTTTATTTTTCGGCTTAAACCTCCACACGCCGAGAAATGGCGAAAAACTTTGATTTCCACTTTTGGTTCCTAATTAGCCATAAACATTTAAATTATTTATTTACTCAAATTGAAAGTGATGATATCATGAGCAAATGTCAAACTCTTAAGAGTGTTCCTCCAATACTTATGTTGATTTGCAAATAATGTATTATTCTGGACCTTAGTTAGTATGTGATGAGCGAACTGCAACAATATTTCTTATCCATCTTCGAAAGCTCTTCATTAGCTGCATCTCAACTCTCGTCCATATGCTTGGTACACCTTGCAGCGTGCAACAGCATACACAAACACACACTCACACGTACAATATATGTGAACATATATAAACAGATATCTATATATCCAAAATATACGAGTACACATACAAATTGGTTACATTATTTGCCCAGTTATTAATCGATTTTCTCTGTTCTACCAACAACAACAACAACAATAATAATGAACCTCCATCAGGCGGCGCAGTGCTCATTGAAGGCGTTCTATTTCGGGCAAAATACTTGGGTTCCACGCAGCTGGTTTGCGAGGGTCAACCCACCAAATCGACACGGATGATGCAGGCCGAGGAGGCCGTGTCTCGCATAAAGGTGAACTTCCCACACAATTTCTTATAATAATGTATTTCGTGTAGCTCGAGACAATTTTGTAGCGATATGATTTGTAGTAAATAGACTCCTGTAGTCGAGTCTAAAAAATAATAACAATAATAATATGTGCCCCGAAAACAATGTTCGCAAAGATCCTTCGCGATTCTCGAAGTCTGTATTTAAAAAGCAGATTTCACTTTAAACAAATGAATATTTATGAATCATAATTATTCACTTATTTATTATGTATTTATTTATTTGGTTTTTCTATAAGTTTTGTTCCCTCTACTTTTTGAGCTTCGTGCTCAGTGAGCCGACTGTCAGCCCACAGTGCTATGCGGCAATTATTTCAATTATTATTAACAATCGATTTACCTTTTTTTAGCCTCTGCTATAATATTTAAGTTCTAGCATTTCTATATTAATTGAACTATCTATTGTCCAGCTCGCTGGAATTTTGTGTGGAAACACATCTGTTCTCTAACCAACATGATAAATGTTATCTCAATTCATAAAGATATATATATATTAAGAATATTTCACATCAAACAACTTTTAGTTACATCCAACTTGATAAAAAGAAAGGCTGCCAGCCCAATAAATATATTGAGAGTTTTCGGTTCACGGTCTTAGCCAGCATTTAGCCTAAGGCTCAATTCATAAAGTTCGCCTGTTCTTTAATCGATTCGACTTTTTTAAATAAAAAATTGGCTTGCAACTATGTTTGAAAGCACAATATCTATTAAATAACTACTGACCTCTATTTGCATTATTTAAGTTTTATTATTGGACTTATGAATAATTATTATTTTATCATTTGCAATATATTTCTTAGTAGATAACTTTCTGCATTAATTAAACTAACAGTTAATTGATATTTAGTCATTTTTATCTTGAACTTAGTTTTCAATTTTTTTCGCTTTAATTTCGTCTCAAATGATCAAATATTTATTTAATTTTAAGTAAAACTGTCTCGTGGGGCACAGCTCAAATCTGCTTTATGATTTAACAAAATTAATAAGCTACTTATTTAGAATTTCTGCCTGATGGTAAACGATCTAGTTTTAAATGAAAACTCATGCCGACTTTTGATTATTTTTTCATGCATCTCAATTTGTTGCCATCTACATCCCAACTGAACAAACTGCTCTGCTCCGTATTTGTAAACGCGTAATGAATGTGATGAATTCACTAAACGAATCCACGTATCGCCATGCAATCCACACAATCGATATCAAAAATTCGCATACCCTAGGCCCTGGTAAGTAGTGCATAGTGAAATAATGAATTCAGTCTTACATTTGATCTGATTTGCGCTTAATTGAAGAATTTCATGTTTTTCTTATGCAACAAGCTTTAAACTAAGCAATGTCAAAGTAAACATAAGCGCATAACTATTAATGTAGAGATCAACATAAATATCATCTATGGAAGATATAGAGCATTAAATTATTTAATTATCATAAACAGGCACCCGATGGCGATGTGCAGCCCAGCACGGAGGTGGATCTGTTTATATCAACAGAGAAGATAATGGTGCTGAACACCGATCTGAAGGAAATCATGATGGATCACGCGCTCCGCACCATCTCCTATATAGCAGATATCGGGGATCTTGTGGTGCTGATGGCGCGTCGTCGTTTCGTGCCCCAGGACATTGATGATGCACCCAAGCCGAACCGCACGCCCAAGATGATCTGTCACGTGTTCGAGAGCGATGAGGCGCAGTTTATTGCACAGTCGATTGGTCAGGCCTTTCAGGTGGCATACATGGAGTTCCTTAAGGCTAACGGTATTGAGGATCATCGCTTTGTCAAGGAAATGGACTACCAGGAGGTGCTCAATAGCCAGGAGATCTTTGGCGATGAGCTCGAGATCTTTGCCAAGAAGGAGCTGCAAAAGGAGGTCGTTGTACCCAAGGCCAAGGGCGAAATACTCGGCGTGGTCATTGTCGAAAGTGGCTGGGGCTCCATGCTGCCCACGGTCGTCATTGCGAACCTCATGAGTTCTGGTGCGGCGGCGCGTTGCGGCCAATTGAATATTGGCGATCAGCTGATCGCCATCAATGGACTGAGCCTAGTTGGTCTGCCGCTCTCCACCTGCCAGACGTACATCAAAAACACCAAAAACCAAACCGTGGTCAAATTCACAGTTGTACCCTGTGCGCCCGTCGTCGAGGTTAAGATCAAGCGGCCAGAGACCAAATATCAACTCGGATTCAGTGTCCAAAATGGCGTGGTAAGTTTGAATCGCATTTGATTGATTGACTGACTGATAAATTAACTGATTGACGGGCTGATTGACTGTATGACAAGATTACTGACTGATTGACTGCAAAACTGATAAATTAACTAAATGACAGACTGACTGATTAATTAACTGACTGGCCGATTGCCTGTCTGATGGACTGACTGATTGACGGACTGACAAGATTACTGACTGACTGACTGATAAACGAACTGACTGACTAATTGATTAAATGATTGACGGGATGATTGAATGTCTGATTGACTATGGAATTGACAAAATTACTAACTGACTGACTGATTGACAGCATGTCTGACTGAGTGCCTGCCAACTAACTGCTTAACCGACTGATTAGTTAGCTGACTACGGACTGATAGACTGATGGATTATCAAGCTTTAACTTCTGATTAAGTTCATAACCATTCGACTGATTGTCTGACAAACTTATTAAATAGCTGACTGAAGTCGAAAGCACGAGCCATCAGTCCAACCCGTAAGAGCTAGAACATAGGCTCCTTTAAAGATGGAATATCAGAATATATCCACAAGGGTGAAAAGAAAGTGGGAAGACTCATACAAAGTACCTTTATGTTTTTTAACCGATGCTGAATGTATGAAAATTTCATCAACTGCTAAAAATGGGGAATGTTAAATTCTACACACAAGTATAAAAATGTGTTGTCTCTTATTTTGTATACGATTGTATAAAATATATAATTTTAAAGATTTATATTAAAATTCATTTAACAAAGTGTGTTACCTTATCTAAAAAATAAGCACAGATAATATAGTACTTGAATTAATCTCCGATATTTATCTTTCAGATCTGCAGCCTGTTGCGTGGAGGCATTGCGGAGCGGGGTGGCGTTCGAGTTGGTCATCGCATCATTGAGATCAACAACCAGAGCGTTGTGGCTGTGCCGCACGAGAAGATCGTCAATTTGCTGGCGACATCAGTGGGCGAGGTAAGCGCAAGCAAGAGCTAAGCGAAGTTCAAAGACTAATCCCCCTTCTATCACTTACAGATACTCATGAAAACAATGCCCACTTCAATGTTCCGCTTGCTAACCGGCCAGGAAAACCCCATATATATTTAAGCGATATCTATCAATAGACGATAGGCAATGAAGAGCGCGTGCGTAGTAGGCAGAATTCTAATGATATATATATATGATATATATATATATAAATATATGCATATATTAATGTGTATGAATATGCGTATCTGTATAGACTTAGTTTGATATAACGCTGATACTTATATAAAGCATAGAAAACGTTCTAATTTAGCTATCTATTGTGTGTGTTGTTTTTTTTTTTTTGTGACTACTATAGAATAAAGATATAACAGAACGGAAGAGTATAGAAGAGTATGTGGAAGCTATGACAAATAACAAGCGTAAAACTTTTGTTCCAAACTGCAACCAAAAGAAAAATATAACAAAGAAAACTATAAACAAAATGAAGAGAAACCAAAAGTAAAGAAAAGAAATGACAGAAATTGCACGCCTTTTTGCAAAGCTTAGAACTAATAGTTAATAATGTGAGGGGAGAGCGCTGCGACTCCGTTGCGATTGTTCGGGTAAAAACATATATATACACATATTATATATCTATACATACGCATATATATAAATATATATATATAGATATATATATTGATATATCTATATATATATATCTTTATATATCTAAATATACACGATGACCTTTTTGCGAAAACGTCCTTAGCTTAGTTGAACAGCGTACAGACACAATTAGTGAATATAAAGATAGTTACGATTACAATGCCTTTGCCAACTACGCACTCCCCAACTACGCACTTCCTTTCCTCCTCTTCAAATACCATTAATAAATGTGTAAAGATTGCTTTTTTATAACACCCGCAAACACAAACACACACACGCATATATATGTACATATACATTTGGTCCGCTCATAAAAAAAACCATTCACAATAACACATTTCAGCAAAATGTGATTAAATATTAAAATGGAAATAGCTCGGCTAAATACAGTCCGATTTCGGAATGATATGCCTCTTTCTACTCGTACGGATCCCGACAATCGATTGCCATCCAAAAATCCGCAATCTAAGAGATGACCCAAAATGACCAAAAATACAGTGTAACCATCACGTTTTTTTCGGAAAATGACTTTTTTTCTGAAATCAATGACTGTGATGCCAATCTATTCTATATTCTTCCACGACTTAACCCTCCTTTTTTGGCCGCAATCGGGCTTCATTTGGCCAAGATGTGGCCATTTCAAGTTTTTCAATGAAATTCGTGTGGTTGTGGACATAGCAGTAATACAAAGCATTGCATACTTTCGTGCTGCTCGCATAATGCTTTCGAGCCAATTAAAATAGCTCTTTTACTGCATACTTTTGGTCCGCGCATAATTAAAACCATTCACAATAACACATTTCAGCAAAATGTGATTAAATATTAAAATGGAAATAGCTCGGCTAAATACAGTCCGATTGCGGAATGATATGCCTCTTTCTACTCGTACGGATCCCGACAATCGATTGCCATCCAAAAATCCGCAATCTAAGAGATGACCCAAAATGACCAAAAATACAGTGTAACCATCACGTTTTTTTCGGAAAATGACTTTTTTTCTGAAATCAATGACTGTGATGCCAATCTATTCTATATTCTTCCACGACTTAACCCTTCTTTTTTGGCCGCAATTGGGCTTCATTTGGCCAAGATATGGCCATTTCAAGTTTTTCAATGAAATTCGTGTGATTGTGGACATAGCAGTAATACAACGCATTGCATACTTTCGTGCTGCTCCCATAATGCTCTCGAGCCAATTAAAATAGCTCTTTTACTGCATACTTTTGGTCCGCGCATATATAAAACCATTCACAATAACACATTTCAGCAAAACGTGATTAAATATTAAAATGGAAATAACTTGGCTAAATACAGTCCGATTTCGGAATGATATGCCTCTTTCTACTCGTACGGATCCCGACAATCGATTGCCATCCAAAAATCCGCATTCTAAGAGATGACCCAAAATGACCAAAAATACAGTGTAACCATCACGTTTTTTTCGGAAAATGACTTTTTTTCTGAAATCAATGACTGTGATGCCAATCTATTCTATATTCTTCCACGACTTAACCCTCCTTTTTTGGCCGCAATCGGGCTTCATTTGGCCAAGATATGGCCATTTCAAGTTTTTCAATGAAATTCGTGTGGTTGTGGACATAGCAGTAATACAAAGCATTGCATACTTTCGTGCTGCTCGCATAATGCTCTCGAGCCAATTAAAATAGCTCTTTTACTGCATACTTTTGGTCCGCGCATAATTAAAACCATTCACAATAACACATTTCAGCAAAATGTGATTAAATATTAAAATGGAAATAGCTCGGCTAAATACAGTCCGATTTCGGAATGATATGCCTCTTTCTACTCGTACGGATCCCGACAATCGATTGCCATCCAAAAATCCGCAATCTAAGAGATGACCCAAAATGACCAAAAATACAGTGTAACCATCACGTTTTTTTCGGAAAATGACTTTTTTTCTGAAATCAATGACTGTGATGCCAATCTATTCTATATTCTTCCACGACTTAACCCTCCTTTTTTGGCCGCAATCGGGCTTCATTTGGCCAAGATGTGGCCATTTCAAGTTTTTCAATGAAATTCGTGTGGTTGTGGACATAGCAGTAATACAAAGCATTGCATACTTTCGTGCTGCTCGCATAATGCTTTCGAGCCAATTAAAATAGCTCTTTTACTGCATACTTTTGGTCCGCGCATAATTAAAACCATTCACAATAACACATTTCAGCAAAATGTGATTAAATATTAAAATGGAAATAGCTCGGCTAAATACAGTCCGATTTCGGAATGATATGCCTCTTTCTACTCGTACGGATCCCGACAATCGATTGCCATCCAAAAATCCGCAATCTAAGAGATGACCCAAAATGACCAAAAATACAGTGTAACCATCACGTTTTTTTCGGAAAATGACTTTTTTTCTGAAATCAATGACTGTGATGCCAATCTATTCTATATTCTTCCACGACTTAACCCTCCTTTTTTGGCCGCAATTGGGCTTCATTTGGCCAAGATATGGCCATTTAAAGTTTTTCAATGAAATTCGTGTGGTTGTGGACATAGCAGTAATACAAAGCATTGCATACTTTCGTGCTGCTCGCATAATGCTCTCGAGCCAATTAAAATAGCTCTTTTACTGCATACTTTTGGTCCGCGCATATATAAAACCATTCACAATAACACATTTCAGCTAAACGTGATTAAATATTAAAATGGAAATAACTTAGCTAAATACAGTCCGATTTCGGAATGATATGCCTCTTTCTACTCGTACGGATCCCGACAATCGATTGCCATCCAAAAATCCGCAATCTAAGAGATGACCCAAAATGACCAAAAATACAGTGTAACCATCACGTTTTTTTCGGAAAATGACTTTTTTTCTGAAATCAATGACTGTGATGCCAATCTATTCTATATTCTTCCACGACTTAACCCTTCTTTTTTGGCCGCAATTGGGCTTCATTTGGCCAAGATATGGCCATTTCAAGTTTTTCAATGAAATTCGTGTGGTTGTGGATATTGAAGTAATACAAAGCATTGCATACTTTCGAGCTGTCTGTTCTAAGAATCTACACGACTTAACCCTCCCAATCAAAAAACTCTTATTTGTATAACTTAGAGCAAAAATTTCTTTAATATTTGTCTCACTAAAAATGTAAACTAGGATAAATCAATGCGTACAATATATTTAGTGTTGTGTGTGTTTTGCCTTCCCTCTACATGTTTGTGCGTTTCTGTTTTACATTGTATACAACAATTTAAGTCTTTTACGTTGCCATCGAATCTTAACAACTAAACAAATATGTTTATTAGTAATATTTTTTAAATATTTACAAATGATGGCAAGATGGCTTGCCTCGGCGCACCTAGCGCAGCTCTACATAAACCACATTTCATTTCAAGTTATTATCAAAAATTCCAACAAAATCCACAAGAACATTTGTTGCTTCGCGGCTTACAAGTTTCACTAGGTTTTAGTTATAAATATATATCCATATAGCTTACTTCTCGAAGAACACATATACGTATTTTAAAATATATAAAACTTTAATGTATATATCGAGTTTTGGGTGCTAAGCCCCGTCCCCCAAACCCTCCACCTTTCATCCTATCACAATTTGAAATTGCGAACGCAGCTCCACTTTGTGTAGACATCATATGAGTTAAAGTACATATAGAAATATGTATTTATATAAACATACTTACACTCTATGTAAATTAAGATGCGCTTTTAGTAATATCTATTTCCCCCAGATATCCTGAGTTAGGCAAATGGCTTCTCCTGTTTATTTTGTAACTTTGTAACAGTTTTGTCTTGATTGCAGAAGAATGCTTCAAGTCAGCTTACTAGAACAACACACAGTCACACACACACATACACACACTGACACACTAGACGCTTCGATTTCAATAAACATCTTCGTCCAAAAATTGTGCTACTACTCGTTAAACAAGTTGATAGAATGAGAAAAATGTAAAACCAAAGCAAATGCTTTACTATATATATATATATATGTACCGATATATATATATATATATATATTCATATATATATATATACTTACATACTATATAGATATAACCTATATCTAAAACATTAAAGCCTAGCATACATACATATATGCATATATATACATACATCCGATAGACACACACACACACAGGCATATGCATTTCGTTGTAAAATACTCGCATGGCAAAAAAAAAGAAAGAGAAAAAACAAAAAAAAAATTAATGAATTATCAATTACTTGTAATGCATTACTCGTAATTCATTATGAAAACAATGTGCTTAATATATAGTAAAATTTTCATGTGAATTGCTTGCATTTTGGCTTGATCCGGTAGTCGGGGGCGCCACTGGCCACGCCCACGCCCACGCCCACCAATACAAATACAAATACAAAACCAAATATGATAATAATAGCAGGCAAATCTCTAATGAATAAACAACAAAATAAATGACCGCTTCAGCCGCCGAAGGCACATCCAGCAATGGGCCCCAGCACCAACTTTGGATCAGCACTAAAAGCCATGCAAAGCAAAAACAAAGTAAAAAAAATGAAGAAAAAAAAGAGAAAAACACATTACAACAAATACATTACAGAAATTATAAATGAAAGCGAAATGAAGAAAACAAATATATAAGAGAAATAATTGTTTAACTTTTTTTTTGTGGTGTAAATTATTTATACATATATGTATACATATGTATGTGTATGCATAAAATTCATGAGTATATATGGACGTATTTATTAAATAAATTGCATAGAAATTATATAAGGAGCAATGATGATTATTTGTAAAGGCGCATTAAACCAAATACAAAACGAAAAACAAAATACAAAATACAAAAATCCAAAAACAACAACAAAGTAATTGATATATAATCGCATGCGTAACAAAAAAAATATATACACAAAAGTCAAAGCAAAAATTGAGCATAATAAACAAACGAAAAACAACAATGTCTTTTTATTATTATTATGTCTATTTCTAACTTATAGCAGAAAACGCCTCTTTTATAATATATATGCCTATTTGATACATATGATATATAGAACATATTAGAATTCGAAAAGGAACGCAACATCACGCAACCCCTGTTGTATCACCTGGAGTGGTCTGAGTAGACGCTGTAGTTGAACCTGACGAAAATGTTCCAGCCTTGTCAGCTTTTGAGAGACTGTTAAAAGCAATGTCGGTGCCTCTTTGGCCCCACCAACTCAAGTGTTACCTTCAGCCCCATCAGCTACTATTTTGGCATTTGTTCCCTCTCGTAGACAAGTTTTTGTGTCTCGACTTTCGTCTGAAACCACTTCTGAGTCATTGGCAGCCTACATTGCGAGCAAATCTTCTGCTAGCGTGTCAATAACCAAATTTATGATCCTACATTTCACGAGTTTAAGCAAAAGAAGCGAAACCCCGTCACCCTGTCGATCCCCTCTATGCAAGGTACCCTTATTGCCCCAAAAAACGAATCTCGTCTTCCGACCTAGTTTTCATTCCATTATCAGAATATCAGAGGTCTCATTTCTAAACTTAAACATCTTTTTGTGGCCAACGCTTCCTTCGATTCGATATACATATGTATATACTCACATTTTCGAACAATTTTACTTTATATAGAAATGATCGGCCGACTCCAGGGTTTGGTTTATTAATTGCCATTAAAGTCCATCTCCAGTCAGAACTTTTCTGTTTCTACTGACGCTGAGATTATCTCGGTTAAGGTGGCTTTTCCTACGCGCTGTCTTATCCTTCTTCTGATATATGAATAGTTTATATGAAACACATTGCTTGTATTAAAGAAGTTTCTTCACACGTGCGTAATAGTAAATGACCCATCTCTAGCTAGTTATTCACTGTCGAAAACTATCGAGTACTATCTCAGCACAGCATGAATTTCTAATCATTTGAATAGAACACTTGATACTTGATTTTTGTTAAATATTACAGCAAGCATAATTTAACGCTTAAATTTCAAGAGAATTATTATTAGTTGAATCCATCGAGGACAAATGACAAGAATTGTTTCAGTTACAAGCGATAGCTGTAAAACAATAGATACTTTATCTCTGTATATACTTTTCTCGAAGCTACATTTGATAAGCCGATTTTAAGCGTTGGAATCCGTTTGCGACCAAATAGTTTGGCTAGGCAACAATAAAATGCAGTCAATGGGGTATTATGCAGTATTTTTGAGGCCAAAAAGAAAGAAGACAATTGGTAGATTTGCGTTTCAAATTAATATTTATTGATGAATACTTTTTATTTTTGCATCGATTACTCTGTTAATGCTATTTGCCATTCAATATAAGAAGTTTTTACATGCAATCAATGGAATAGTTTTCTCGCATTTCTCGTCTTTTCGCAATGCTATTTATTTATTTATTTTATTTTTTTTATTTTTAAATACACACACCGATCAAAATGAAATGCAATACGCATTTTTTATTTTCTTTTCTTTTCTGTTTTTGCTGCAATTCTTTTTTTAAATATGCAGCAAGTGCTGCTAACTGGCTTGTTGTGTATACATATGCATATAGACAGGCTACATATGTGTATGTGTGTGTGTGTGTGGTTGTGTGTGCGTGTGTGTTTGAGTTTTGCAAGAAAATTGTGTGCACATGTGAGTGGCCGAGTTTTTTCAAAGAGCACAGCAATCCTACACATTAAGCCAAGTACTCAATTCCTCGAAGAATTCTAATTTCATGAATTTTAGAGCATACTTTTCGGCGCTGGGTCAAAATACTGCTGCGTATAATTTCGAAGAATTGAAACGGAATGGAACTGAGCTGTAGACTTCAGGCTACAGTACATATATATGTGTATGCTGTGTGTTATATTATTGTTCACATAGCTTCTGCTTTTAATTTGTTTGAAATTTGCATTTCAGTTTGCAAAGACTCGATATAATTATAAAGTTGTTTCCACCTAGTTCTTACTTGAATAGGCTTACACTAACAATATTTGCTTATTTTATATTCATTCTTCTGCTATCGCAAATGGCCGCAGTTAACGATATAACGATATATCGAATAGAGCAAATAGCGCGCTTCATTGTCCGTTTTTCTTCCATTTTCGATTTCTTCAGTTTATAATAGAATGTAATTGTTATATATATTTATATATGTTTGTATATGTATGTTTGTATGTATGTATGCATGCATTTCATATATATATATATATGTATGTGTGTATCAAGTTTGCATCATAAAATTTTTCTAAGTTCCCCGCATATTGGGCTGGGGGAACCCTCTTAAAACTAATACAATTTCAATGATAAACACTTGTAATTTCCATTTATACAATTGCAAATGTTGTGGGTACGCTGAAAAAAATTTGTTAGTTAGTTTTCGTTAATTAATTTGTTGTGTTCTTTTCTTCTTTCATCTTTTAGTTTTGTTTTTTTTTTTTTTTTGTTTTTTGTTAGCTTGGCCAAGTCGCTTGTTCAAGGGCTACTTATAATTTTGCTAATAAATTAGTTTGTCAAATTTGTTAAATTTTGTGTACTTTAAGTTTGACCAATGAAATGTTTCGACTTAACTTATATCTCGATTTCAACAAAAATACTCAAAATCTCAATTCAAAAAATATTCTTTTGATTTTTTTTTGTTTTGTTTTTTTTTAGGGCTTTAATAAATTTCAACTATTAAAAATAAATGCGAAAAATTTAATTTAGTTTAGTTTCGTTTTAAATTTAAATTTGTTTTCAGCAAATGTTGCGCATATGTTTTTGGGATACAAATTGAGAAATTGTGTTTTTGTTGTGTAAATATTTGAACTATATAGTATATAATTAATTTCATCGTGTTTAGTTTTGTTTTGTGTTTTTTTTTTTGTACTTTGTTAGAAATTCACGCAGATATGCTGAAATTATCCAACCGAGTCCTTGCTGCCTCATGAAACGAACATATCCAATAAACGAAAAGCCAACCAGTTCCAATTCTAGTAGTTCCAATTACCTAGCCCCTCACTTTAGCCATACTTCATTAATCAAGCCCTATTCATGTCCCACAATCTATGCTTAAAAGCTAACCAAGCTAAGTACTCACATAAACATATCCAATTATCGTTAATCGTTTATCGTTTATCATTAATCGCCTGCCTGCCGCACTCTAAGCCTTCAAAATTTTTGTTATCGATTACATTTATCCTTAACCTCAAACGTTATCATGTACATACAACTTAGCTGTAAATTTAACATAAGCTTATGTAGAGACCGATAAAACCAAAAAAAAAAAAATATATATATATATAAACAAATACATAAGGACGCGCTACTGCATAAACATTATAAAACATATGAATTGCACATGATTTGAAGTAATAGATTAATAACTAGGACAGTACAATATACATATATCATTAAGAAAGATGCGTCTCGTTATGTTGTGTATCGTATAATCGGTTTCATCTTTAGCTAAAGTCAAAGTATATGATTTGGTCGATTTTGCGCATTATGTCGCCTTCCAAGTGTGTATGCGTGTGTGGGTAGTATATTACAATTCTTATTTGTATAAAGTTCCATATATGCAAGTAAGTATTTGCAATTGGCACATAATTACTAACAAAGTCAAATGAATACATTACATTAAAATTGCTGGTATTTTGTATTTTTGGTTCTTATAGGTTTTCCATATTATATTGCACATGATGTCAGTTGCAACGAACACGCGACAGCGAGTTAACGTCGCGTTAACATGGCGTTAACATGAGTTCAAAGGAAAAGAAATCAAAATCAACGATAAATAAAAGTCAGCTTATTGAACTAAACCATTAACTAAGCATTTATTGAAATAAAATAATGATAATTGCAATTATATTCTTTTTGTTTTTTTTTTTTTTTTTATAAAGGTTATTAAGACAGTAAAATGAACGCAAACGAAGAAGAAACAATAGTTATTTTCGAAGTGCCGAAAATTCAACGCCCTTGCAGATGCAAATTTCAAAATATATTTTTAGTGCACTCAATTTTCGCAAGATCCTTTTTGTGGGGGTTATTTGACACATCTACCGCCTGCAGCATTACGTGAAAGAGAGAGACTACTTAACATTATAACATACAGACAGTAGGAGACAGCTCCATCGAATTAGCAGGAATCTTACTATATGTATTATTAATGGGTTTGACAAAGTGATCCTCAGTTTGAGGATATTTTGACGCTCTGCAAGGGTTTAGAAATAATAAACGTTTGCTACTAACTAATCGCATAACGTTCTCTTTTCGTTTTCGTTATCGTTGTTGTTATTACAATTATATAGTTGTAGTAGTAAATATATATATTTTTTATATGTTTGTGTGTTGAATGAAATATTATAATGATTTTTGTTTTAATTTAGCTGTTGCATTTTACACTTAACTAAATAAATTGGAAAAAAAAACTTAATTCGGTAATTAAATTGGTAATCTTAAAATTAATTTAATAGTGTGAAGACTTGAAAGTTTTTCAATGTTATCTTGAAATCTTCGTATTTCCTTTTTCAGCCTAATTTCAGCTTGATAAAAAATTATATATAATGTTAATTATAATAATAATATTAATAAAGAAACACAATGTTGGTGATGACAATTATAATTATAATTATAGTTATAATAATAATAATAATAATAATAATGACAAAACGTTGCGCAATGTAAACACAAACAAAAAGACGATTTTCTATTAAGGCAAATTAGGGTTAACAGCGCCCGTTAAAAGGCAACTGTAAAAAGGCAACGCGAGCGCTGCTCAAAAAGTTAACATAACATAAAGCTGCTAAAGTCGCATCTGCAACGCGATTTGCGAGTGTGTGTGTGTGTGTGTGTGTGTGTGTGTGTGTATTGGGCTTCGGTTTTACTGTGTGTGTGTGTGTCGCGTGTCTCAGTGCCTAAAATTAAATTCTACATTTTCTTCTAGTTTCTAACGCTACCAAAGTTGCCGCCGCTTTGGCTTTTACATCAAATTTACCATTCAACATCATTTTTTTTTTCTTTTCGTGTTTTTTCTGCTGCTGCTGTTTACATCTTTAGGCTTAATTTTACATTTGACAATTTTTACTAAATTAAGTTTATTTAAGGGTTTACCAGCCAGACAGCTGGAAAGCCGGATGAGTAGGTGGTCGGAGAGGGGTGGGGGAGGGAGGGAATAGGGATTTGAGATTTGCGGGCCGATTAATAGTTAATTATGTTAACAATGATTTTGTTAATGATCATAATGTTGATGTTAAGTATCTTAAAATTAATTTAACAGCTCAACGACTTTCTCTCTCTCTCTTACTCTCTCACTCTCTATCTCTGTTGTTTCAAACAATTGCGAGTTACGAGGAACGAGTGGATCGGGTTGGATAGGGAGGGGGCAATGGGTGTGTGGATTTGTGGTAAGCGGCTGTTTAAGTAAAACAGTTGCACCAGCCAGTGTGGTAGTTGCAGGAAGTTTACGTGGCGCTGCCGCATTTTTAAACAAATTATAAAGCCAAAAAAATTATAATAATAATAATATTAATAAAACTATAAAACTAATTGTTGTTGTTGTTGTTGTGGTTGTTTGTCCAACTGCAACATTAACTAGTAAATGCTACAAAGGGTGAACAGTTGCAGTTGCACTTAGGCGGCCGTATCCACCTCCTCGACTATGTGGTTTGGTGAGACCTCGCTGGGCGGTGCTGTGTTTGTTGCTGCAGCTGCAGCAGTTGCTGCTGCTGTTGTTGTTGTTGTTGTTGCTGTTGTTGCTGTTGTGCTGCTGTTGCTGCTGTGCTTTGTCTTGGCCACCTGCGGCGGCGTTGTTACCAGTGTGCTTACAGCGCTGTACTGTGGCACCGCCTCAACGCTGGACACTGGCGCCATGCCCGAGCTGGCATCGTAGGGCGAGCTCTTTAATTTGCGCGCCTCGCGCTTTTGCTTGCGCTGCTGCATGACCAGCCGCAGCTGGTCTAGCTTGGACTTGGTCTTCAGATTGGCCAGCTCCACGACGCACTTCTGGCACATATGTTCCCGTTCCCTCTGGCCGTTATCCTCACTGCCGCCGACCGTGCGATAGCGGCACATGCAGGCGCTCGAGCTGCCAGTTGCCGTGGTGGCATTCGCGCTGCTGCTGCCGCTGTTGCCGCTGTTGCTGCTGCTGGCTGCAACATCTGTGCAGCAGCCGAGTGGGGTTGACTTGGTGCCGCAAACAGCTGCGACAGAGGATCCTCCCTTGGCCAAATAGTGGCCATTGCATTCGCCATAGGCGCAGCTGCCAGCAGCCAAAGCCGCCGCTGCTGCTGCTGCCTGTTGCTGCTGCTGTTGCGCACGGCTGTTGCACTTGGCGCAGTTGTGATGCTTCGTCGAGTACTGAAACAGATCGAGTTAATATCTTAATTCATTTCCGGACAGTGAAAACGTGACAAGAGAGCATTGATACTCGCATTCATGGATTAATCTGGCTTTGAATATTTTGAACAATTGATAATAATTGAAATAACTGCGCTAAAATGGTGGTAAATCAATCTGTATTAAAAGACCCATAGTTCTTGTTCCATATCTCGGCATTACCCAACACTGCCTCATTCACTGCTCACAGCAGTGCAAAATACTAAAATCAAATATATATATAAATATTACCCAACACGGGCTTTGCAATGATTCTGCCCACTATTCAGTGCATAACAAAAAAAAAACATATGTAAATAATTCGCATTCCCTCCCAAACTACATATTAACAAAACTTTTCTTCCAGCGGTATGCAACACTTTTTGGATAAGCTAAGCATAAGAACGCTTCAACTAAGGCAAAAGCTTCACAGATTAACTGTATTTTTCTTTTTCATTTCTGATTTAGTTTTAGTTTTAGCGCTACTCAACACTGACTTCAAGTTAGTTGCTGAATGAGCAGAGGAATCCATCCCCTGCGCCCCCAATCACAACTTTGGGGTAGAGATAAGACTGAGATTCATGATCCTAGGTATTGATGCAAGCCTACTGAACCTCAACCTGAACTGAACTACCGACCAATTTATTTGGGCCCTAATGGAGCACCTGCCAGCTGCAGTTTTTTGTTTGCTGGATTAATCCAATATTCGAGTGAGGCAAGTGCACATTGTCGACTCACCAGCTTGCTGCGCACACCATGATGCAGTGCACCAGCTGCTGCTGCTGGGGCTGCGGCTGTGATGGCTGCAATGCCATTGGCGGCATTGCTGCCGGTGCTGTTGGAAGCGCTTGTGGAGCTGGAGGTGGTGGAGGCGCCGTTGCTGATGCTGCCGCTGGTGGGTGCCTCGAAGCTGATGCGTGCGCCACGACTGTATTGGGGCGTGGCACTTAGCAGATCGTTGAGTATGTGAATGACAGTGGAAATGTCGCGCTTGGGCCGTCCGAAGCGATCCTGCAGCGCCGGATTCAGTGTGCCCGAGAAGGTGCCCGAGTAGATGCCCTTGCCGTGATTCTTCATTGACTCAATGACAGCGCCAGAGCCAGTTTTGCGCGGTGTCTCCTCCCCGCCGCCAATGCCGGCGCCGACGCCAACGCTGCCGCCGCCAGACAAATCAATCTTGTTGGTGAACACCTCTTTGGAGAGCTTGCGCAATGTCTGGGTGAGGTTGCGCGATGCCTCGGCCAGCGTGCGGGTATCCGACACGCCCAGAGCGGCATCATCCAGTTCCGTGCTACTAGCTGTGGTGACACCTGCTGCTGCTGCTGCTGCTGTTCCACTCTTCGCGGTGGCTGCCTCTTGAGGCTTAAGCGCTGCTGCAGCAGCAGCAGCAGCAGCTGCGGCATGATGATAATGATGATGGTGATGGTGGTGATGATGATGATGCCGATGCTTGGAGCGTGTTACGGTAATGGGATTGTTGACAGTCTTGTGCAATGAGCTGTCTACCACGCAGCCGGCACCAGCAGATGCACGTGCCACAGCTCCAATGTTGCTGCTGTTCGGACTGGGTTGCACAGTTGTCGGAGCAGCTGCTGCTGCAGCCGGTGCTGCTGGTGCTGGTGTGGATAGACGCGTGCACAAGCACGAGGTGAGCTTGGCGGCTATCGGATCCTGCTGACAGCCACCGCTGGTGCAGCTAGCAGCACCAGCTGCTGACGGTTGAGTGGAGGAACTGGAGCTGGCAACGCCATTGATGTTGGTATTGGAGCTGGAGCTGGAGCTGGAGCTGGAGCTGGAGCTGACGCCCGGGCCATGGGCAATGTGTATATTCTTAATGGCCGTCGTTTTGATAGGGCTCGAGACAAGATTGGAAAGCGACTTGATGGGCGACTGCTCCAACAGTGGCTTTGACTGCGCCGTCGCGGTCGGCGTCGCTGACGTTGATGCCACAGTCGCTGAGCCGCCGGCTTGTATTGCCGCCGCCTGGGAAGCTGCTGCGGCAGCAGCGGCCGCTGCTGCTGCTGCCCTTGGCGCTTGCGTCAGCGCAATGCTCTTCACAATATTCTGTAGACTCTCGTAGTCACGCTTGCTTAGGAACGAGCTGAGATCGGAGCTCTTGATGGCGTGGTGTGCCTGGCCATGACCCGAACTACCGCCTGCTGCGGTCAGCATGCGGCTGCCGCCGCCTCCGCCTCCGCTGCTGCCACTGCCATTGCCGCTGGAACGCTCCATGTCCAGTTTGCGTGTGGTGGATGCCATGCCGCCAGCGCTGCCCGCGGCCACCGCCGAGGCGTTGTGGTGGTGATGATGGTGATGGTGATGATGGCTGTGGCTGTGCTGCAGACTCGGGTGCTGGTGACTGTGCACATGGCCGTTGCCGATGCGTCCGCTTGCCAGCCGCTGGCTGGAGGAGCGCGTGCGCGTATGCGACGAATGGGAGCCGCTGCCACCTGCATAACTGCAGGCCATGGCTGTGCTTGAAGCCGCAGTGGAAGAGCTGCTGCTGCTGCTGTTGCTGCTGCTGCCGCTGCTGCCGCTGCTGCAACCGGCGGCTAAGCTGTTGTTGCCGCTCGCCGCTGGCGCTGGCAGGGCAGCCGTCGCACCGGCAGCAGTGCCGCCTGCGGGATTGACGGTGCTCAACTGCAGCTGAATGAGCATCATGTGATCGCCCAGTCGCATGCTCAGATTAAGTGGTGTCTTGCCGCTGAGGAAGTCATTAACCTGCGAGTCGTTAAGCGATTCCAGCGCCTGCATCACCGTATTCTCCGGACGCTGTGCCTGTAACGGAGCAAGAGAAGTGCCAAGATTTAGTATATGTAGGTGTGACTATTATGTTAACTAACATTATCATGTAAACTCAATTAACAGCATTAACACAATAGCCGGTCTGTTACTTAACAGAAACGTTTCATTGATTTGTAGTCTGTTATAAATTGGCTCACAGCTAAAGATCTCTACGAGCCAAGACACGATGACAAGGTACTATAATAACCCAATCACACAGAACCTATAGATTCAGGGTTTGTTGCGGCATCTTGACGCTGGTTAGAGAGCAGCGCCTAATCGACCACTTCCGACTAGAACACTCTTACTTGTTTTTTTCCCGATTCCATCAACTATCCACAGGCAATTTGTTGTCGTACGTGATTCAATGCGTCGCCTTTGTGTTGTGATAAAGCCAGCGGCAACAACATAAGCAGCAAGTATGTAGAAATAGCATCACATACCTTAGCTATCTTGATCGGAGATGTGTAATACTTCTGACTGACAGAGTGCAGGGAGCGTATTGCGAGAACGAAGCAAAGGCAATGCAAATGCATTCAGATGACATGAAATGCCATAACATTGGCCTATCAGATCACAGTTAACCTAAGACTTTATAATACTTATAATACAAAATCATATTATTATCAAGGGATTCACATTTTCAAAATCGCAACCTTTTCTACACAATTCTCTCAATTGATGCTCTCTCAGCGTCTCTTTTGAAAAAATATCTCTCAGTGAGTCTATCGTTAGCTCTAAAGTATTTCTCTAGCTCTACCGCGCACTTGCTTATCCTGGACTTACTTTGTCCCTTTCCCTTTCACTTGCCTTGCATTTTCTTTTTTCAGGTCTCTCTTGTTCTTCTTCTTAGTTGGAGTAAACTACTTGCTCCCAAATGCAGCTTATATGGGCCTCCCTAAGTAGTTTTTTTTTTTTTATCAAGAATTTGTAATCGTTTATTTATGTTCATATGCTGATACATATAATATGCATGTTTTTGCATATACACTTAACATACCGACAAAGAAAGAAGGAAAACAAAAACAAAACAGAAAATCAACTGCGACAAGACAACAACAACAACAACAACAACAACAACAACAACAAATGCGATGTTGACAACTTTTAAGCTCGATTTGTATTTTAAAGGTCTGGGTTAATTAATCATTTTCATTGCAAACGGACATACAAAAAAAGATCGACTGATCCAGCCCCTTCAGTATGCCACTCTGTGGCCCCCGCCCCAGCCCCTTTCCCTGCACAGTGACGCACACAGACGCGCTCACAAATGCAAGCGAACGTCCGTGTGTATTTGTGTGTGTTTAATTTTAATTGCCTGGTGACACAGTGACCTAATATTATTTCAAAACTTTTCGAAGCTTTTGTGCAAGACGAAGGGTTGGCCGCAGAGGGGAGCTGGCTTTGGCAGCTGCTACTTTCCCTTCGCACATGGCCAAGGGCAGTGCAAGCGCCAGGGGTCGGGAGGGGCCATTCACTAGTTATGTAACTGATTTCAAAGTTTCTGCTTGGCAACAATCGAGCATTAGTGCATTTTTATAAATTTCGTACGACGTCTTCGAGGCCTATTGGCTTTGTTGCTGTTGCTGTTGTTGCTGTTGCTGTTGTTGCTGTTGTTGTTGCTGTTGTTGCTGTTGCTGTTAAGTGTACCAAGGTCAACTGATGTCGCTGTCGCGATTTGTCGCCAGCGGCGCACGCAACTTACGTCATGCAGCAGCTTTGCGACGCGTCGTCGTCATTCGTCGAAATCGAAAATTTACAAATTTAAGCGCAGCAGCAACAACAACAACAGCAGCAGCAGCAAAAACAAAGGCGGCCAATTCTGTAATTTATTAGCTTTGTGCCAATTGTTTTGGCTTTTTAAAAGCTTTTGGCTTACGGCATTAGCTTTAGCTCAGTGTGTGTGTGTGTGTGTGTGTGTGCGTGTTTTGCGCTTCAAATGGCAACACAAGCCAAAACCTATTCAGCTAGCGCCTTGCTCATCTGCCTCAGCACAGCAGCGCCCCCTCCGCATCATCCCATCAACCATCCATTCACAATAATTATAACCGTTTTTGTGTGTCTCTGACTAGCGCTCACACTCGCTCTCTCACTCTTGCCGTCTCGCTCTCGCACAACCGGTTTACAACGGAAAAGCCGACACCAAATGCCGCTGCGCGTCCCACTAAGCCCGTTACGCGCATAAAACAACAACAGCAACAACAATTAGCTAGAATAGCACAAAGAACAAGAGAAAATAACAGCTACAACAACTGGGATTCTCATCGCATGCAATTAATCGTTAAACTAGCCAAAAACGAAGCAAATACCGATCTCTCTCTCTCCCTCTCTCTCTCTCTTTCTCATTTACTCTTTTGCTCTAGGGCTATACACATTGCTATTGAGTGAATCTGTCTGTCTGTGTGTGTGTGTGTGTGTGAGAGAGAGAGAGTAAAAGATAGTGAGAAATGAGATTTGAAAAGAATTAAGTTCAAATCAAAATCTAACTAGAAAGCACGGCACATCGAAGATGTAATGCCCTTTTCTACCGTCTGATTGGCCCAACAATATCTTATTAATCTTTTTAAAAAATTATCTTGTTTAATATACACATATATAGTTAAAGATAAAGATAAAGATACATATTCAATAGGCCATTTAACAGAGTCTGCAACTTGATATCCACAAGATAATCATGTACAACTTGAATCTAATAGTGAAATTGTTAAATTTTCTAAAATATACAAATCAGAAATAAATTATAAAACCAACATTGCATACTATCCTATACAAATGCATTGTACATTCTACACATTTGTGATTCACATTCGATAGTTAAACAGGTGAACGTGATAAACAGTTGTTTAGACCATAGCGTGGATTATCATAGATAAGATACGGTAAATATGCCGATGAGCAGAAATAGTTTGAATATGCAAGCGTTAATGATATTGGCAAGAATAAAGCCGAAAGCAAAAAAGAAATCGCAAAAGTCTCTTTTTAATCTTCAATTTTTTTCAGTTAATTCTGTTCACATTTGGCATTATTTTCGATTTGAATAGTGCTATTTGTTGCCCTGATTGCATCTGCACTGTTTGCCGCACAGTTTGCAAGGCATTGGACTTTGCACGTGCTCAATGCGAGCGCGATCTGAGGTGGTGGAGCGCACTTCGAGTGGTGCGCAACTATACAAAGGCGGCGCCACTGGCACTTGACACAAAGCCACTAACAAAGTGATTCGCGTGAATGTGTGTGTGCATGTGTGTGTTCATTTTGGGGACAAAGCAAAATATATGTATGTATGCACACATAAATTTTTTAGTTTCTCTTTATCAGTGTGTGTGTGTGTGTGTGTGTGAGTGTGTGTGCGCGCGTGTGTTTGCTGACCATGAAAATATTTTTATTGACTTGCTTTCAAAAACTGTGTTAAGCTCCCCCCACCGAACCCCGAACCACGAACCACAAACCACGCCGCGCAGCCCCATTGCCCGCACTCTAGTGGGTAGCCGCGATCCTCACATATGCGAGACTGGCCAAGTACTGATAAGAACAACTACCTGGCCCACTCTTTGAGCGTCCCTTTGGTCCGGGGCGTCACCCACTTCGCTGGAATTTATAGTGCATAAAAGCGTAACAACAAAAAGATAGAAATAGAAAAATCAAATAAAAACAAAAATAAGTAAATAAAAAATGGCAAGCACAACAAAGGAGACGACAGCTGGCGCCATCGATCGCGACTGCTTGTTTGCCTCCGTTATCTAAGCAGCGGCGCTGACGTCGCTGTCGCCGTCGCCGTCGCCGTCAACGCAGCTTTGCACTTGCTCAAACACAGTTTAAAAGCCACTGCAACAGCCGGCAACTGTGGCGAGCAGCTACGTAACCGGTTTTATTGGCTTGCCAATTGGCGTGGCTCGCAATGGGTCTAATAACAAAAATTAGCTTGTGCATCGTTGCAACACACACTCACGCATATATATATATATACATATACGCACACATACACACACACGGCGCTTGCCACAATTAGCATTGTGGGGATGGGATTTGGAGGCAACTAGCTTTCAGTCCAATTTGCAAACATCTATTGACAACAATTTGCAAATGTTCCAGTTCAATTGTTTCTTTAAAGCAAACAAAAATTATTGTTGCATCATTGAAGTTTCAACATGCCGCGCTTCATTCCACCTCGTTTCACACCTTTCAAATGGCTTTTGTGGCAAAATGAGTATTTTTCTAGTGTTCCATTTCATTGTTTCATTTCCATTTCAAAAAATTGAACTGGACAACCTTAAACTATTGTTCGATGCCAATTCCACTATTCCGCATTCCATTCCATTTTGTATCATTTGTGTCTGACTTGTAGCAGCTGCCCAAGTGTGCCATTCCCATCGTTTCACCTCGCATTGTTTCGCAACAAGTCTATTATTTCCTTCATTTTTCACAATTCATTTGCTGCATTTGGCATTCACTTCATTCAACCAAATACAAAAATCACAGCTAAATACTTGATAACTGTTTAGCATTTAAATGGCGAAGCCCTTGAGCGGAATTTCCAGCCCAGGGGAACTTTTTTTCCCCAGACAAAAGAAAAACTTGCTTTGAAAATCGTAGTGCCATTCGAGAATACCACATTTTTGATACTCTGCCTCTGTGGAGCTTACCCCTTGCAAGGGCTAAACCAGCAGCAGCAGATAAGAAAGCCTTTGTATAATGTGCTCGGCACGACAATACCCTGTATCCGGTAACATCAGATTCGAAAAAGGTTTACAGAAATTTCAGGTATGTTAAGGTATATGTATCTGTAGCTGTAGCTGTATCTGTATCCATATCCGTATCTGTATCCGTATCTGTTTCTGTATCAGTATCAGTATCTGTATCTGTATCTGTATCTGTATCTGTATCTGTATCTGTATCTGTTTCTCATTTATTTGTATATATACTCCACAGGCACACAATCATCTGCTTTCGGCTATAACAAAACATTTGTCCAAGTATCTTATACCCTATTTGTAGAC